AACAGCCACGGAATGAGATGGTATGTGATGTCTGTTTATTGTGAATATGAATGTGTTTGTACTTTTTTTATAAATAGTTTTGTTCCTTTTTCGTTTTTGGAATCCTATTCTCGGAACAGTAAATATTTGTTAGATCTCTTACATTCTTCTAAATTTATGGAAACCATGGAGTTTACACAAAAAAATGCTCTGACTGCTATGAACTTTTCTTCTCCGTATGTAGTTAGATTCTAAAGTTGTAAGCAGTTTTTATATTATTTCTGGAAACAATCGTTCTATTCTGGCCAGAGTTTGGAAGCTATGGATTTTGATCATGCACGAATTTGTAATTTTATAAGAATCTGAGCAATTTTCCTTTTGACTTATAAAGTACATATCGATCTTTACTATTTGTGGAAATTAAAAATATTCAAGTTCTGTTCCCTCCTTTTTTTCCCGATCCTAACAGTGAAAAGTTTTTTGTCTATTAGTCCTGCAAGTTTATAGTGACGGCAATCAAAGAGGTGAATATTTGTTCTATCTTTTGGTGTCTATCAGCAGTAAATGCGGTTTCTCGAGGCCTAGGCCTTTACTTTTTACTAGATATAAATGGACAATTTTTTTTATAGGTTTCAGCAACCTGCACTATTTATTTCTTTCCTGTCGAGTGTAACCTAATGATCCTCAATCAAATTCCTACCAAGCTATTAATCCTGCCGAGTGAACAAAAAAAATTTAATGCTGAATTGCTGACACGCTTTTTAAAAAGTAAATGGTGTGCCTATTAAACCATTCCTGACTTGCTATTTTTCTTTTAACAGCTTTAATTAATTATGTGTTTCTTGGCCTCTTGCTGAAATTTTTATGTCTGCACAATCTATCTACCCTAGCACGAATTCATAACATATCTTACAACTATCTTTGGACAATGTATTTACTCAAACCCTCAAGCTCTCAGAAGTTATACAATATCGTGTTATATGCACTCTGGGTTGAGTAATGAGTTCTGCCTGAATTTCTATTCTGCTAGAGTGCTAGTGTTAAATTGTTATCGAAGTTGAGCTAATTTGCATTGTGGATACTTTTTTAAAAAATTGGGCAGATAATTTCTATTTTGTGTATGCATCGGTTATTGTATTGTAAATTAGTAGTGCTCGTAATCAAATGTGTGAGTGGTCTCATAGCTTCATTTCTTGTGGTAGGTGGAAAGAAAAGTTTGCATGTCAAGGGAGGCTAAGCTGGAATTTTTGAAGCGTAAAAAGCTTCAGCGGTTTAATCGTGAATCTGCGGGTGATTTCCCATTTGTCAACCATGTTATGGGCAGAGGTGGAGGTGATGCCCTAATAGAGCCTGCATCATGTGGTGTGAGAGTCCATGGTAACTTACAAGTTGGTGCTTCGTTGAATGGCAAAGATGTTTTCTTTAAGCATAGAGTGCAAAAGTTTGAGACATCAGATCTTGATTGGATTGACAGAATCCCAGAGTGCCCAGTGTATTATCCTAACAAAGAGGAATTTCAGGATCCTTTGGTTTATCTGCATAAGATTGCTCCAGAAGCTTCCAAATATGGTAATCTCATATTCTACGCTATGGATTCCTTCAGCGCTTTTATATATTTATTTCCCATGCATGGCTGGACTGCTTTTGAAGGGCATTATTTTATACTGTAAACATTTAAACGAGTGCTGTATGGATTTGAACTTCTATGTCGTTGGGTGCTAAGATTGAATTTTGTTCAGGCATTTGCAAGATAGTATCTCCCATCACTGCTTCTGTTCCTGCTGGTGTAGTTTTAATGAATGAGAAAGCTGGGTTCAAATTTACTACTAGAGTGCAACCTTTACGTTTAGCAGAATGGGATATGGAGGACAAGGTCACTTTCTTTATGAGCGGAAGGTTAGTAAATAATTCCTATGTGGAATATAAGAAATCAGTCCATGTTATCATCTCATGCTTGGACTTATGGAAGAATATGTTTTTCTTCAGAAATTATACTTTTCGTGATTTTGAGAAAATGGCGAACAAAGTTTTTGCTCGAAGATATTATAGTGCTGGATGCCTCCCTCCTGCATACTTGGAAAAAGAATTTTGGCATGAATTAGTTCGTGGGAAGACTGAGAGTGTTGAATATGCATGTGATGTTGATGGCAGTGCCTTTTCATCTTCTTCCAATGATGACTTGGCAAAAAGCAAATGGAATATGAAGGTGTCAAACTTGTAACAAATGTTTCTCTTGCTTCAATATGTTCAAATGTATAAAACAAAATTGTCTAGATATACCATAGCACGAGACTTTATAACAAAACATTCCAAAATTGACCAAAACAGTGTTCATTAGTATGATTTTGAAAGCATTTGATGATTGATGTCATTTTTTCTTATTAAGTGCATGAAGTTGGTTCATGAATTCACACACTTTTAAAATTGACTTGGTTTGTTTTGTTTATTAACATTGTTTTGCTTTATGCTACAGGGGTTTTCTCGGCTGCCCAAATCCATACTGCGGCTTCTTGAAACTACAATCCCTGTAATTATTGCAATTTTACTTTTTATTTTTTGCGATATAAATATGAAAGGTTTTAGGGAGTTTCTAAGTGTTTTGATTTGTCCTATAGGGTGTTACTGAACCAATGCTTTATATTGGAATGCTATTCAGCATGTTTGCGTGGCATGTTGAAGACCATTACTTGTATAGGTAAGTAGTGATCATCTTTTCAGCATTGGAACGTGGGCATTGTCTATATTGGAACTCTTACTCATACGTATAATACATCTACACATATACTGGAACTGATCATTATACTTACATATTATAGTATAAATTACCACCACTGTGGGGCAGCAAAAACATGGTATGGAATTCCTGGTCATTCAGCAGTTGATTTTGAAAAAGTTGTTCGAGAACATGTATACAACGGTGATATCTTGACAACGGATGGAGAAGATGGAGCTTTTGATGTTCTTTTGGGAAAGACAACAATATTCCCACCAAAGATTTTGTTGGAACATGATGTTCCAGTCTATAAAGCAGTTCAAAAGCCAGGGGAATTTGTTATCACTTTCCCTAGAGCATATCATGCTGGGTTTAGTCATGGTATGATTTTTAAAGTTTTTATTTGTTCTGGTTTTTGAATCTTAAAATACATCACAATTGTATTAATAATTATTTTGTATTCATAGGCTTTAACTGTGGCGAGGCGGTGAATTTTGCAACTGCAGATTGGTTTCATATGGGTTTAATAGCTAGCCGGCGCTATTCTCTTCTAAAAAGAGTGCCAATCCTTCCCCATGAAGAGCTTCTTTGCAAGGAAGCAATGCTTCTCTATAGGCTTGACGATGCTGTTGCGTATTCATTGGAAGACTTGAAGTCTCGCAAAAGTGTAAAAGTTTCATTTGTGAAATTGATGCGGTTTCATCACCGTGCACGGTGGGCCTTCATGAAATCAAAAACATGCTCCGGAACATCATTAGTTACCCATGGTACCATTATTTGCAGCATTTGTAAATGTGATTGTTATGTAGCATACGTCAACTGCACCTGCTGCTGGCATGTAATGTGCCTCCGCCATGGTAAGTTCAAAATGAATGTTTATTTATATATTCATTTTTTTCATCATGCAATTCCATATATTCTTCCAAACCTTAATGATTAGTTCGGCCTCAGATCCTAGGTCAATTGAATTGCCATGTGGCAGCCGTAGAATTCTCTGTGTAAGGGAAGATGTTTTGGAGAAGGAAGAAGCGGCTAAGAAGTTTGAGGAGGAGGATGATGCTGTACTGCATGAATTTCAACAGCTTCAGAAAGGCGATGATGATTTTTCTTTCCTTTCAAAACTGTTCCCTGAACTTGAGGACAGTGCTTACATTCCTTATTGTGATCTGAGTCTAGAACTGACAGAGGAAGCAGAGGTTTTGAAAGGAGAAACAGTTTCTACATCTGGTGTTTCAAAAGAGTTTCTTTCGTCGACTAGAAATGTATGTCCATTTGCACACATTATTAGCCTTCCGTCAATGTTCGTATTTCTTCTTGCTGACCGAAGTGTACTTGTTTATTTCAATCTAAACTAAGATTATGCTGATGGCAGGCCCATGAGCATGCCAATTCATATATGCCGAACCACTTAAGTGATGGCGTGGATATTCTCAAAGAACCTTGCTCTAACGACGAGTCTGATTCTGAAGTATTTCGTGTTAAACGGCGTTCTAAGGTGGTCCAGAAACGTAGCAACACCCCCGTTTCTTCTAATGAGCACCAGGTATTGGATTCTTGTTTAATTCAAGAGAGTGACAGTTCAATTGCCTTTCATTCAGTTTTGTAAACATTTCAATTTTTATAAGAAAAAAATTAAGCCCAACCCCCCCTAAAACTCCATCCACACAACCCCTAGGTGGAATGATAAGACTAAGATCATGGGCGTTGTTTTTTATAACTGCAGCAGAGTTTGAAGAAACATCGAGGCAGAAATCATGGAGAAGCCCAACGGTATGCTGAATGTAGTACCACCAGAGGCGTTGCAATGAAAAAGAATAACAAAGTGACAAACGGCAGATTGAGGGGGAAGCATGTGGTGAAGATGTCGAACCATAGGCCGATCCAGCAAAACCGTTTGGAAGTCAGAGGAAGACCGTCTTTTTCATGAAACAAAGGTATATTCTGAAGTGGCTAACAACAACAACAACAACAACAACAACAACAACAACACGGTGTTCATTCATTCATTCATTGGTTCCTGAAATTGGATGTCAACCCACACAAATATAGGTACAGTAGTTAGTGCATCCAAGGAGCGTTGACGCTGATTAACCCAAAAACAGGTAGAAAAAGTTCAAGAAACAAAAAGAAACGTAGGTGCATTCTTTGTGTGGCCCCGTCTCCAAATGGGACGGGCTGCAGTCTAAATTCTTGGGTTGCCACAAGCCATTCGATTTGATGTTCAAATTAAAGCCCATAATTCTTTTTTTTTTGGAGCCATCTAAGATTGTTACAATGCACTATCATTTTCAGACAATGATTAAAAGTTAGCTCAGTCGTCTTTTTCTTTAGCTTGACATGCGTTTTAAAATCTCTCTTTTTGCATCTTTTAAATTTTGAATTTGTTTGCTTTACCTTTTTTGGATAGGAATTCTTTTTTCTAAGGCCATATGAATCGAGTAAAACTTTGTACTTTTAATTTCTAGAGCGTGACAACTTCTTAATACTGTACTATATACGAGAGTTAAGTTACTCAACTCTTTAAAAGTGATTGAAAACTTTCCCTGCAGTGGGTATTATCAGTATTAACTTGGCTCTCAGATCTTAAAAAATGCAGATACTTTCTCCATCTGTCCACATTTCCAATACACGTCGATAAGCGATGTCCTCAAAGAATCGTCCCGAAACCTACTGTCCCTTATGACTTTACCGTGGATCTGTCTCCCTACTTCAAAACTAACCAGACAAGACGCCAGCTTCAGCGATATTGAATACGTGAGTCTGTTAAACGCCGGGCGTCCGCGTCTAGACAATTCATACAACACTTCCAACGCCCGACCCGCGAACCCGTGCACCAAAAGCCCGCTCATGATTATGTTCCAACTCGACACGGCTTTTACCTCCATTGTCCGGAAGAACTCCACGCACCTCTCCATGTCTCCCGTTCTTACGTGCCCCGCCAGCATTATGTTCCAAGACGAAGCATTTTTACTGCCCATTGTTCTAAAGAACTTCTCTGCCCACCCAAACTCGTCGTGCCTCACATAGAAATCAAGAATGGCGTTGTCCAGAGCAGTGTCCCCTTCGACCCCACGAATGACCATCCAACAATGGAGAGCCTTTCCTTTTCTCAGCCCATCCCCGACGCCGGAACAGCAGCACTTCAAGACGCCGGACAGTGTGAACTTGTTCGGCACCACGGCGCCTTCTTCCAGCATCCTCGAGAAGATGTCCAGCGCCTCTTGGCTCGACCCGGACCGAGCCAGGGCGGAGAGAATTATCGTCCAGGACCGGACGTCTCTGTGGGGAAATTCGTCGAACAGCTTGCGGGCGGAGTCTAAGCGGTTGCTTTTGGCGTAGCGGGTCATGAGACAGTTGCGCAGATGCAAGCTCCGGGTCAGCGACCCGTCTTTGATCGCCTTGGCGTGGTGTGCTGCAGCAGGAAGAGAGTGATTTGGCGAAGAAGAAGAAGAAGACGACGAGTAATGGAGATGATTTTTAAGCTTCCTGGTGATGAGCGTGGTTGCGGAGCGTGCAGAAACTGAAGCATTATTAAAGAATAAAATTGCGAGAAAATTCCTGCTTCCTGTCATTTCTGGTGATGTTGAATTTTTGGGGGCTTGACGGGGCTCGGTGGAGTTTGAGAGTATATATCCCCTCCCGCTATATTTGTCTACTTTTGGTTTTTGGAACTGTTCATCTAAGCACTTTGACTCATCAAATTCTCTCAATGTGTAAGCCTAAATATAGTCATGTATGATCTTATTTGATTTGTCTTAACATATAGATTATTACTCCCTTCGTCCTAAAATTAACTTCTCATTTGACTTTTCGCAGTCTCCAATGCGACACTTTGACCATTAATATCTCCATTTTTATATGAATATATATTATCAAAATAATATATTTCAAAACTATGTTTCAAAATGAATCTATTGATACTAAATTTATATGAAAATTCAATATATTTTTTTCGTAATATGCAGTCAAAGTTTAAAAACTTTGACTGCGAAAGTCAAAATGGGAAATTAATTTTAGGACGGAGGGAGTAATATATAATTTCTATAATTTTTTAATATACAAATTACAAGATAAAAATGGATTAAAGAAGTGTATTGGATGGCATGTAAAAATGAAAGTGGACAAATACTCTGGGACGGAGGTAATAAAAAATGGGAGAGATATTTTCTTCTTCCTTTTGTTTTGTAAGAGTGCATCTAGAGACTAGGATTGTAAATGAATTGAATAATTTTAATTCGAAAGCCATTCGTATTCGTTTGTACTGATTCGTATTTGAAAAAAAATTAAATTTGAATCCAAGTAGTATTTGTTATTCGTTACACTCACAAACACGAATATATCCACATTTAATTTAAAATCTAAAGAAATACGGAGTATATTCGAAACAGTGAGTCAAAATAGTAAATATTACTCTCTTTGTCCCAAATTATGTTACCTGTTTACTGTTCACAAAATCAAACTTTATTTATTTTCTTTCTCTATTTTCATTAGTCATTTGATAAAATTATATAGTCATGTTACCTCTACTTTTGTAGATCTTTTAATCTAGTTTTTTAGTATGTAATTTTTATTTTTTAATTTTACATTATTTTTTATATAAAATGATTTAAAAATAATTTCAGTCAATCATCGTAAACCAAAACTGGTAATTTAAATTGGGACGGAGGGAATAAAAAATGAATAATGTATTCACGAATTACTTGAATATGTAAATTATGATTTAAAGTTTTTCCTTAATAGCTAATTCCAAAATATATCGAACTTCTCCCCTGGCTTGAGTGGTAGCAAGCCCACTCCCCAGGATTCATGGGGAAGTTCACCCAAGTTCGAGCCCCAGCAAAGGCAGCATCATTGGCTCTTTGTGCGTCATTAGTCATTAGCTTGAGAATAGTATGAACAGATACTACCTTGTAATAGAGTCAATAGCATTCAAAAAAATTTCAAAATATATCAATTCAAAGAGTTTTGGGAAAACATAGTGTAATATATAATAATTTTTGTAAGAATAAAATTAAATATTTATAAGATATTCTAAACTTTAAACGAACTGGATACTCCCTCAATCCTAAAATGTTCTTCTCGACTAGACGATTACTATTTACAAAGGCAAACTTTAATTAATTTATATACCTATTTTCGTTAGTTCTTTGATAAACAATATAGTCTTGTCATCTATTCCTTTGTAGAATTTTTGATATAGTTTTTAAATATATAAATTTTATTTTACACCTACAATTAAATAAATTAAATTAAAAATAAAGTCGGTCAAACCTCGTAAACAGAAACGGGAAGAACGTTTTAGGACGAATGAAGTATTTCTAAAGGAACCGAATTCTTTTAAATAAAATGAGCTTCTTATGTACGATAAACGAATCACATACAAATATCTAAAAATATTCGAACCAAGTGAGAATACGAATACAAATATCATCCAAGATTCAAGATTAACGAATACGAATAATATTCATCATGCACATTCCTCTTGGTACAAACAAATTAGTAATTTAAAAAAATTTGAGAATGAATACTACGTTGTTTTTGAATGATCATATTTCAAAATAAAAACTATATTGAGTACGCTTCAAAAATAAACATTACAGTTGAAAATGAATTGTATTGATTTAAAATGAATATGAAAATTTTTCTAGAATAATTCCAACTTTACCCGGTCTTTAAAATTAATCTCACATTTTATTGTGATGCATAATACTCCCAACTTTACTAAATTTACGAGTTTTGAGTTATCGTTAAGGTTCTAATGATGCGTTAACGAAAACGGGTTGTTTTGCGCAACAAAATGAAAGTTGGGATTATTTTTGATAAATTTTCATTTTTAGTTCTAAATGTCATTTAAATTTTTAAAATGACTTTCTACTTCCATTTCTTTTTGTTTTTTTAAAGATTAATCTTACCTTAAAAAATAAAAAATAGATATAAAAAATTAAAAAATGAGAAAAGTAACTAAAATCATACAAAATTAATGAAATAAATAAGGTAATCAATAGAAACTAAACTGAAGCTGGTAAAAAATAAAATAAAAATATTAGGAATGGAGGGTTCTAACATTAATGTACTACTTATTTTTTGAAAAAACGAGGAAAATTGAGATTATTCTAGATAAGTTTTTGTAAAAATAAGAAAAAGTGATACATTAATGCTTTGTATAGTGCGTAAAATGTAAAAATACACCACTCTGTATATTTGTATTATACTACGTATTTCTTATCTGTTTCAGATTAATTTCTATTGATTACTTTATGTATTTCATTAATTTTGTATAGTTTTAATTATTTTTTATTATTTTCATCATTTTTTATATCTATTTTTTTATTTTTATCCAAATTTAGATTAATCTTTAAAAAAAGAAAAGGGAATGTCGGGGGTAGAAAGTTATTTTAAAAATTTAAATAAATTTTTTTAAAAAAAGAAAATTCATTAAAAATTCATTCCAAGCTACATTTTGTTGCGCAAAAGCGATCGTTCTGTTAATCCACTGCTAGTAATTTAACGGTGACCTAAAATTTACAAATTTTTGTAAAATTGAAATTATTATACTGCGGTACATCACATTGAAAACTAAAATATTTTTGAAAGACAGTTGATATTATTCAAGATAATTTTTAGAAATAAATACTTCTTCCGTCTCTATTTTGATTGAAATTGCGGAGAACGAAGAAAAATCTCGAGTTTTTTACAATTATTTTATTTAAAGATTGAGACAAAAATAAAAAATAAAATTTACATATTTAAAAATCACATAAAAAATTTACAAAATTAGAGGTAACAAAAATAATTTATTTTATTAATTAATTAATGAAAATACACAAATAAATAAAAGTTATCGTGATTTTAGAATAATAAACACAATAACCATGGAGGGAGTATTATGAACTATTATCCCTTCTACATGTAGAAAATTACTCACGGGTGACGCGAGTTTTGTTGAAATAACTCTCAGGTTCCTCTATTTTCAAGAAGACATCACTGGTCCTTACATTTTGTTGTAATGACTAGAAGGAGACATTTCATCCAATATTTCATCTATAAATGTTAATAAATATATTTTTTTCCTATTCTTTTCTAAATGTTTTAAGGTAATAAATCTTAGGTCGCTCCTTTTTTTTTATTTCTTTGTTTTTATTTCATTTTGTTACTATTTTTTAAAGTATTATTTTAGAATTTCTTCTATAAAATCGTATAAAAATTCAAAATTGTTTGTATTATACTAAAACAAATGAAATAAAAAAAATTTTAAAAAAAGAAAAAACAAGGTAATAGCAAAATAGGAAAAAATGGTATTGGAAAAATAGGAAAAAAATAGATTTATTAACACTTACGGATGATGTATTGGATGAAATGTTTCATTCTAATCATTACAACAAAATATAAGTATCTCGATTGTCTTTTTGAAAATAAAGGGACAAGTTACAAAATTAGAAGCGCCACCCGCTTCTACATGGGTGTGGTTTCCACTTTCCATTCTTCATAGACCCGATCACGGGCCTGGGTATCCGGCCCGCCTGCAAAAGCCCGCTCGCAAAATAGCGGGCTTGGGCTTGACATTTTAGGGCACGGGCCGGGCTTGGGCCTTATAAATGGCGGTCCGAATATGTTAGGGCCGGGCTCGGGTTTATGCTTAAGCCCACGGGCCGGGCCGGCCCGAATAAATTAAATATTTATTATTAATATAATTATAATAAAATAACAATAACAACACTAATAATAATAATAATAAACAAACCTATTTCAAATTATTATAAACACACATACATACTTCTATGGAGAGAAAAAATAAACTATAGGTATATATAATAAAATGAATACGTCTTTACTACTCCGTATTGTTTGCAACGTATCACACATTGATTATGACATTCCAATAGATAATATTTTGTACTCCATACATAGTAGCAATATCAAACAAAATATATTTATATATCAATTTTTCTTTCATTTACTCATAATAGTATCAAATATCTAATATATTAACTTGTTACTTTTTTTTTAAAAAAAATATTTTTAAATTATTTAGAAGTTTTTGTTGGCCGGGCCGGGCCTGCCCGAAGCCCGCGGGTAATCATGCGGGCCGGGTTTGGGCTTCAATTGTTAGGCCCGTTATACGGGCCGGGCCGGGCTCGGGCCCAGAAATTTTTCGTAAAGTAGTGTCTCGGTCCGGCCCGAAACCCGACCCGGCCCGCACTTTGATCAGGTCTAATTCTTCACCATTCAGCCTTATCAAGTGGCTGGAAGTCTGGAACAACATTAACCCTTATCTTCTTCTTCAATGGCTACTTCCTCACCAGCTGCTCTCTCGTCATTGTTCTGCCACAACATTGGAATAAAAACTTGTCAACTTCACTTTCCACCTTTTCTTGCCTCATTATCAAATCACAAACACTTGAGTCCCATTTCATGCGCTTCATTGATTAAACGGCGTTTGGCTTCTAACAGTTCTCCGGCACCAACTCGCCCCCTTTGCACCTCTTCCTCCTCCTCAAACACGACTAAACTTGAGGTATGCCTATATTTACACGTCTCTGGAATGATATGAATTTATATCCATTTGGAATTCAATTCAATTTCATGAAACCCTAGTAGTAGGAACACCAATTCGAGCAAACTGATGAGTTGCAGATGGTAGGCTAGACGTCACAGATGGGACAAGAAATAAACGAGATGCAGATGTTCGAAACGAGGAATTCATTTGCAATTTGCACTTATTTGATT